GATGAAGGTATAGCAAAGTGGCAGGTGAGGTCCATGATGGTAAGCCAGTTCTGGCAATTAGTCTTTTTAATTAGGCCAATTAGGCCAGGTGGTCTTGATAGCCACTTAGCAGAGTATAACTGCATTAGGAATCTGCTTGGATTTTCAAGAGTGTATTTCTCTTCATGGTGGCCAGGAACCTGTTGTTCTCCATTGCTGGGAAGTAAGGTTTTTTTTCTCCTTGCTAAGGAGTTGTAGTACTGCAGGCATGCAGGAAGTTATGCTATGCTGATTTATTTTTGCATTGTATGTATTTGTACTTAGCCACAGTACCATCTTTTGCTTTGCTTATTTTTATTTTACACTCTGCTGAGTAAAGCTCTATTTTTGTTGATTCCACGACTCTGCTGTAATATTTTGCAATACACCCTAACAAGCCTAGGAACAACCTCCCACCACAGAACCCCCGAAGAAGGGATGAGGGAGACCTAGGAATCAGCCACAAGTGCCATATAGCGAAGAAGGGGGTGGGCGAGCAAATGATCAACCAATCATAATATAAACATAATGTGAAGGAGTTAGCCGGCGTTCAACATCTTGTGATTCAGCATACCAAGAGGAACTTGCAACCACAGAACCAAGAAAGAGGGGACAAGGGAGAGCAAGAAAGCAGCCCCAAGTGCCTTATGGCAACCAAGAGAATGGGCAAGCAAGTGGCCAACCTGTCACAATGAGCACACAAGGTGAAGAAGCCACCCAGCCTTCCACATCTTCCGTAGCAGCCCAGGAGCAACCTCCCACCACAGAAGCTATGAAGAGGAAATGAGGGAGACCTATGAAGCAGCCACAACTGCATTACTTTGGCTTGCACCATGACTGACCATGGACCTTGTTACTGGACTCTGCCTTGTCTGTAAGTCTGCAGCTTTGAGGCTTGCTTGAACTTCACAAGCTCTATGTGGAGTTCCTTTGGACATGTTATCAGCTACTTGGCTGCTTTCCCAGACACACAACTACCTTACACCGATCAAGGGAGTAAGAAAGAGAGCAAGCAACCTGTCACGATGAACACACAAGGTGAAGAAACCACCCATGCTTCCACATCTTCTGTAGCACACCAGGAGCAACCTCCCACCACAAAACATCTGAAGAGGAAATGAGGGAGACCTATGAAGCAGCCACAACTGCCTTACACCAACCAACGGAGTGGAAAAGAGAGCAAGCAACCTGTCACGACATACGCACAAGATGGAGAAGCCACCCAGCCTTCCACTTCTTCCTCTGATGAGGATATTAGGGAGACCTATGAAGCAGCCACAATTGTCTTAGACCAACCAAGGGAATGTGAAAGAGAGCAAGCAACCTGTC